TTATTTTCTCACTTGATTAATATTTCCCAGCATTTAGTTTTTCATCTTTGCTTCTTTTGTTTAACCCCTTATTGCTGCTCTTTGCATCCACTGTTTTTAACTAGTATTTGTAATTAAAATGCTGTTCCCTCTCCCACCCACCCCCTTTTATTTTTTACTTTAACCTTCCCTTCCCCCCCAAGGTGTGCTGTAACCCGTGGGCCTGTTCCTTAAAATCCTGCTTGTACTTCTCCCAGTAATAAATATCTCCCACTCACCCTGTACAGATGCCATGTAAAACCCACGTTTGGCTTAATCCTTCAAAGTAGGGTTTGAATGGTGCACAGCCCATTCACTGGGCCCGATGTGCACCTTGCAACGTCCCCTCGGCGTCTCCATTTTAATCATAAGCAAATTATTTGATGCTTTAGAATGTTAAGAATTTGAAAAAGCAAAAACGTTTTGGGCTGTGTCGAAATGAAGCTGCTAAACAGAATTCATCCCATTCTGCAGTGCAAAGTCATGGTCTGAGTGCTAAAATAACTTGGCCCCTCCACAGGAATGGGATGTTTGGCACTGGCTGTTAGTCCATGTTTTGATGCTTTGAAACCGTGTTTTGAAACTCAGTTCGTTTGTCCTCGGCTGGAAGACGTTCCCATTTTCATTCCCGGCTGAATTCCTTTTCTGCATCAAACGCCATCTTCCTGTTTGTAATTGTGAGAAAAGTGGCTTGTTTTTTTCTACTTTGAGTTTACTCCAGCTGCAGGTGCTTTAAAAATGAGGGAAAGATGAAGAGGAACTGGCGTGCCTCCTGTCTCCTGTGGGACAGCTGCGCGTGGGTCAGAATGAGGAGCTGGCCCCGCTGCATGTCAAAAATCACTGGGGAGTTTGAAACACTAGTCAGCTACAATGTTTGCTGAACCTTGGCTTTGTAGAAAAAGAAAAGAAAGAATATTTTTCACACTGCTTTCATCTCTTAAAAGATTGAGACTTGGGCATCGGGTAGGTTGCCTAGCTATTGATTTAGAAATAAAGCCCTTTTTCGTACGTCTCACGGTGTCTTGGCCCGTGTACGCTGTTCAGCTTCATGTCTGGGGCAATGCAGTGAATATGCCTGTGCTACAGAGCCAGAGAGATGCTTACAGCTCACGTGGCCTTAGACTGTCGAACTCGGACGTGGGCAATAGTCATAGTAGCCTGGTATTTTGGGTATGCTGCAGGTTTCCTTTAGGAGCCCAAGGTAACGTTTGGATGACTGAACTGAGCCAACTGCTGAACAAGGTTTTGACCAAGGATTTGGCATGTCAGTGTGAGCTCTGAATTAATACTGCAAGCAAAATCTATATACAGCTTCCAGTACTTTCTGGAGCTCCATGTGCTGAAAGGGAATTTGAACACTTCACAGCCTTTTATAGAGGAAATGAGGGACTAGTATAAGATGTTTGTGTTTTAAAATTCAGGAATCTGCATGTGAGTATATAATTCATCTACAGATGTAGTTGCATTTATTTGACAGTGATAGCCCTTTGCCAAGTTCAGCTATGTTAAAGGATGCAAAGTCAGATTTGAATCAATCTGTCTCGGCTGTCTGGAGATTGAGGGAAAACCCACTTCATGGCTGCAGTCCCAAAATTCAGTTAAAATCTGTAATGCAAGAGATAGATACAGGAATATTTCATTGAAACGTCCAAGCATGAGTGTTGAAGAGTCAGCCTGTCGTCTGAAAGATTTAAAAATTTAGCAGTAAATGAACAGTGGTGCGAACAGGTGGAAGAAAGGTGCTTTTTAATTTTTCGAAGTGCCATCTCGATCTGACGTTCAGATCTTCAAACACCCAAGTCGTAAGAAAAACAGCAAGTGGTAGGTGCCTAAATACCTCGATGGAGTTGGACACGACTTGGTCAGGCACTGGAGCAGGCTGCCCACAGGTTGTGGAGTCTCCGTCCTCAGAGATACTCAAAACTCAGCTGGACTCTGAGCGTTGGAGGTCGAGGCCCTTCCAACGTACATGCGCCTGCGATCCCCGTGGTGGTCACCGTGTTGTACAGTGGCCTTTTACCCCGTGCGTGCAGATGTGATACTCTGTATAAGCAATGACAACCTGACCATTTCTTTAACCGTGCTATTGAGGAAGATTTGCAATTATTTCTGTTTCTGTACTGTAGGTGAAAGCTGTGCACTGCAAAGCTGGTGATACCGTTGGAGAAGGAGATCTGCTGGTGGAACTGGAATGAAAGGTTGCCTCCACACTGTTGAATTAGCTAAGCCTTTATTATTTCCATCCATAAAGTAAAATTAAGGCAATTCAACACAGAAGATGGACAGTCCTATGTGCAAGATTTTATACAGTCATATTTATTGTATCAGTGGTTAAGACAGCAAACACAGATGTTAAACCTTGGCAACAGATCCCAGATTTTTACTTCCAGAAATACTTGTACATAACCTTTGTAATTCTTTGATTTTTCAGGATCAAATAAAATCAATAAAATATCATTTCTGCTTTAAAACAGGAAAAGCCTCTTTTTTTAAAAAAAGAAAACAAAAGCCCAAATCCGATTCATCTTCTCCATGGCAATATCACTGGTTTGAGGCCCCAGCCAAATTGTACAGAATGGTTGGTAAGAGTGAAAAATTAACCACTGAGTGGTTAACCGAGCAGTTCTCCTACGCGCTGAACAAGTACTGCTGATGGCTTAAATTCTGATCAGATTTATTGTAATATTTCGAAGCCTTTGTATAGACTAGATTTAAATTACAGGTTAGATGTTTGATTTTGCTAGTGCAAATAGTGTATTTTCATTTACAGTTGTAAGGGAATTTTCTTCTTTTATTCAGACTTCATACTCGAGTTTCCCCCCCCTTTATCTTCTTTCAATTGATTACTGGATGCAAGTCCTTACAGAAGGAGCTGGCACTGTCCTTGAAGCCCCTTAGCTGCCCCAGGGTACTGCTAGAGGCACTTGCTGTCCCTCAGGCCAAGCCCCCTCCTGAACTCTCACAGGAAAGGGAGACCCAAGTGTCTGATCTTGTGTTGTGCAGAGGCTCTTACTAAAGACTGTGTGAAGAACTAGGACTGGTCATAACACGTAACTACATCCTGCTGGAAGAGCTGCGTATCCAGCGTGAAAAACCAGAGAGGGCCTGGAGAGGAGGAAGATTTAAGTGACTTGAACAGAAGTGAGAGGGCTGGTGACTTGGTCAGAACAGGTAAGAGGATGTATTTTTTTTTTTTCCCCCTCCTCACTCAGGAACTCCATGCCACAGCCACAGGATGGTGAAGATACCAGAAGTTTACTGGGTTCAAAATGTTAGTGTGTGGTTAACAGAGGCTCTTTCTTCCATTGATTGATCTAGCTCAGTAAGTCAGCAGCTGCAGCTCACTAGGTACAGTGATACCTCCGCAGTCCCCGCACGCTGTAAGTATCATCTCTGTCCCTGTGCTCTTGCCTAGGCCTCCGCTGCTGCCCGCTGCTGGGCCAGGACACTGGGCTACTCCTGCCTTTGGTCTCACCTCCTACAGCTGTTTTTTCTTACATACCTCTAAGTCACTGTTCCTGCCGTGCCTTGATCACTGCCCCAGAGAGGAGGCGGCTTGCTCTCGTTTTCTTGCCTAGGATGTGCAGAGTCATGCTACTTCCCAGAAAAACCCCTCTGGCCAGAGGCACCTGGGCCCGTTACCGGAAGGGGAAGGACGAAAACAGTCTGTGACGAGGCCGGTGACTCATGTTCAACCAGAAAGGCTCATGATTCTGCTTGAAACTTCTGATCAAAGAGGCGTTTTTCATGTTATTGAGATGCTGCCAACTATATCATACGGCCAAGGGGCAATAATGTAGTACAGGGACCTGCCTTGTTAATTAGTTTACAAAACCCATCAAGATGAGTAAGGAGAGTGTTTGGGTAGTACCTGCCCTCCAGGAAAGTTAATGCTTTTGGAGTTGGAGAAACTGAGGAGACACCCTGCAGATCTTCCTACAACTCTCCTTAATGCCATCTTGCCCCTTCCAAAAGGAGCACAGTTCAGCTGCTGCAGGTTGTCCTAAATTTAAAAAAAAAAAAAAAAAAAAGTATGGTAGAGAGACACAACATGACTATTCTACTTTAACATTACTTAATTTGCCTACTGCAGCAACACAAGCTTTCTGTCTGTTTTTCTAAATGAGATGCAGCAGTATCTGTTCCTGATAAAGTTTAGGTTGATTCCTTACCCTGGATCCCTGGGCTGATTCCCTACCCCAGATCTCCTCCGGCCATCACAGGGCTACTGCCAGTGAAGCAAAAGTACAACATTGTTCTTAATGGTATCCTTAGTATGTTTAATCGTACTTTGGCTCACTGCACGGCAGACATTCCCTGCTCACATCCCTTTGGCAGCTTTGTATCCCGTACAATCTATATGTACCAAACACTGCAGTTGAAGGAAAATATAAGGCACAGTAGTGTAACAACAGAAAGCCACGATTTTCCCAGATTGTACAGAAACCAGCGCAGTTGGTTGGGTCAGGGGGGAAAATATCCTCCCTCCCATCCCCCCCCCCCCGTTAAATGTTGCAATAATCACAATGCAGGTCCTTTGGATATTTTTTATAATGTATATAAAATCTTCCCCCTAATAGGAAATTCAGTTTGCATATGGTTGCAAGTTCTGCATTAAAGTGCTTGGCTAAAAGTCACCTTCATAGTAAGTGCTCACAACAGCTGCATCTGCTGTAGCGTGGTGGGCAGCTGAAATCAGGTTTGCTTTTCCTGGTCCCCAACACCCCCTCCCACCCCCCCCAAATCCCACAGTCACTCCGTGTGCTGAAGTGGTACCTAAAGTGCTTAGAATGTTAAATTAAAAATATTATTTTAAATGTAATACTCCTATACTCTTTTAGTATTTCTTCACGGTACCTTATAAAACTAAACATGTTTTAAAAACACTCTTTTCCAGTTCAGGACAACGCTGCAACACAGAGTGAGAATAGTCTTTAAATTGTCTCTGTTTCTCCAGCAATTTAATATTTGTCTTGAAGCGCATGGTATCTATACGGTCATCTCTCCTGTTAACATTCAGTAACCTACTAAACACCATTACAAGTCAGTATTAAACGCGAGTTGTGCTTTACTTTGTTTGCAGACATGATTTTTTTTTAATCACTTTTAGCTATTAGTGCAATAGTACCATCATTATTCCACCCACCTCGGAGAACTACACAAGAAAATTTGTCAGTTCAGGTAAAAAAATTAGTCTGTTCCTCTGCCTTTCACTGACCTCAGTCCTGCACTGAGGCAACGACGGGGGGGGGGGAAGGGGGGAATAACTAGATCCCAAAACAGATGTGCACAGATGATACAGTTATTTTACGCCTCATGCAAACCCAGTTACTTGCAGCAGGTTAGCGGGGGCGAGGAGGACGCTGACTAGCCAGGGACAAGTCCCCATCTCTGGGCCTACAAGACTTCAACACTAGCGCCAAGGCTCCCGGGTTGGGAAGGTTACAAGAGATCCTGTGTTTTAATAGAAAGGTATTACAGCTTTCCTGGAAAGGTTACCGATCGACACGTGCTTAGTACTACGTCTTCGGCCGGGCTGCGTTATCTCCCTTTTCTAATCCCGGCTTTCGCGTAGGATGTAGGAGAGGCCGTGTTTCCCCGAGGAGTCGTAACTGTCATGGTAGGGGAGGCCGACCCACTCGGGCGGGTACGTCGTCGTGCTGTACACGAAGCACTCCACGATGCCCTCGGCAGCTGCCCGCGCCTCGCCCGTGTCGCCCTTCCCTTCCCACTCCACCACCTCGATTCTCATCAGGGTACGCTGGTACATGTCTGGGCAGCCTTCAAACTCATCCAGGAACTGCAGCATCTGGTCGTCAACCGAGTAAATCTCCCCAGCAACGTGGTGTCCTGTTCCCGGGATGTTCAGCATGTAAGGAATGTTGTATTTTCCTGCAATCACCAGCGGGTACTTCTCCACCGTGCGGCCCCTTCCTTGGAATTTCGCTAGCCCCTTGGCCGTGTTGATCATGTGCTTGTAGTTGGGCTGGCCCTTCTTAAGCGTGCCGTAGACGAAGACACGAGCCATCGTACCTGCAAGAACAGCTGAAAGACAAAGGTGTACATTACCCACGTGGCTGCTTTGCCCAACGCTCTGGAGAACCGCACCCACGCGGTTCTCCAGACACATTGTACAAGACACATTGTACATGCAAGATTCTTCAGGCGCATGCAAAAGTGGTCTCGTAGTCCTACACCTCGTTTAAATAGCATACTAAATTCAAATAGCTCTTTAAACTTTTCAGTCAAAAACTGTAACAGTGAAAAACTGACACCAGGAGAAAGTCACCCTTGCAGTTCTTTGCTGTAATCAAATTGCATCCCATGGTTTCTCCAAGGAATCCACAACATCAGCCAATGCATCCCTGAGCCTTGGGAAAAGCAGTAAGCCTTTCTTCATTTTTTTTTTTTTTTTTCCTTCTCTCACCATTATGGGAGCCATCCCAGCGGTGGAAACAAGCTCCACGTAGCACATCCTTTATGGGGGGCGGGGGGAACCCCTGAAACAAATCATGGTTCAGTTCAGCTAAGCAGACATCTTCCTATGCTGTGCCACTGCATTTAGAGTTTAATTAGCCCAGGTCAAACCTGGTTATTAAAACATGCAGGAGTGAAGCCACAGTTAGTTTGTTTTCCCTTGTTGGGGTGCGGTGGTGTTTTTTAAAGCCTGAACTGCTGGACTTGGTCACACACTACCTGGGAAACCCGGCATTGCCGGCTGCGGGTGCGGTCCAACACACCTTGGGGAAGCGCCTGCTTCCCTCCCTCTTCTGCTCAGGTTCCCCTTTCACCACGGCAGCACTCAGTATTTGAGAAACAACGTTTTATTCAGTGACAGAAGAGCTTGGTTGCAGTTTGGAAGTTCGGGTGTCGTCTTGTTCTGTGGTAAAATAACGCACAGGGGCATTAATAATTATCCAAAAGCAAATTAACGCAAACGTCTGGTCCTGTTGTGCTGCAGGTGCACATATTAGATAGTATTTTTTCAAATGGTAACACCAGCTTGGCCACAGTCTTAATACAAAAAAGGGAAAAGAAAAGCAAGCAGCACAATGCCCGTGCTGCAAGCACCTTCACCCCTCCTGTCCGAGGGAGCTGTACAAATGTTACTTCCATTTATTTACTTTGGGGGTGGGTGGGGGAACACAGTATTTCAGCGCTAACAAAACTGGAAGCTAGAACTGCTGGCAGAAAGGCCAGGTAACGCCGTGCTCCTGTCTTCCCCAGATACCCAAAAGCGCGAAGCCACCTCTGCCTGAAGTAGCCGATTTGCAGATGTGCTAGCCCTCTCTTGAAAACAGACCCTGAACGATGTTGTTCAACATTTATCTGTGAGCATAAAACACTCAAAATTGGTTTAAGTGGGATAAAAGACTGGCTTTACTGAAAGGTGTGTGTGTGTGGGGGGGAAGGTACCTTCATAGTTCCTGGGTTATTTTTCATGCTGTGACCCGTTCATCCCCCATCATTTCTGTCGGGCAGAAGCAGTTCTGCAGTGTTTGATGGTTTCCCACGTTTTGCCCTCGGTCACTGACTGGGCAGAACCTGCCTCTCCGTCACCCAACACGGCCATCTGGCAGCTACTCGCCAGGCACCCAGCATCAGAGGAGCACGTGCAGCTCCTTTTGGAAGGAGGGTCATTAAACAATGTATTTCAAGTTTGAAAAAATCTTTAAAAGCAGACGGGAAGTAGAAACTTAATGTATTTTCTGCTATTTACTCTTATTTTAGTAGACTTAGATCAGGTCAGTTATCCAAAGGGGTACGTTGCTGGCCAAGAGGAGTGTCATTTAAAATAATCAGCAGCAAAGCACTTTCCCCCTTGGTGAAGTAAACAGGTTTTCTCTGTAACAGAACACAGTTTTCTAACTAAAAATGGTCTGTGCCTTTATTTACTGGCAAACAGCTTTCACTTATGGAAAAAAAGACAGCACTGATTTTTTTTCCCCCTGTATTTTATCAGATATTCTTCAGCATAATTTATCCTTCATGACATAAACGAGTTTTTTTTGGATGCAGCTCATTCCCTCACAATAAAAAGAGCATTAATATTCAGTCGGTCTGACTCCCTTTTATAAGAAAAATCATTACCTTTCAGACTGTGTTTTGAATAACAAACACAGATCCTTCAGGAAGAAACTTGTCGCAGTGGGGATTGAGAAAGGATCAGAGTTAAGCACTGAAACATGCAATTAATTCCCATTAGGGGATTAGGGCACTCGTGTTCACTTTGAATCAGAAAAATGAATTGTGAATTAAATTGTTCACAACCAAGAGGTTACTTGTCAGAGTTAATAAGTTAAAAAATAAAAAGGGAAACCTAACACCCACATAAAAAGCTCAGTAGTGAGTGGTGCATCTGTAAGAAAAAGATACGCTCCATTTCCATTAAACAAAAGCTCCATCCCTACTGTACAGCTGGAGATAAGCTTCCAAAAAGTTTGCAGGGAAGAGTACTACCCCTCCTGAAACTGGGGAAAACAAAGTATGCGTTTCTGACGGCGCAGCAGCCGGCTATTCGGAAATGTTACTGATTTAAAGCAACACATCCATCATCCTAGTGCAGGGCCCACAAAATTCAACAACCACCACCACCACCCTTGCTAACCCAGGTGTGGATAAGTGTTTCCAATTTAGCATTCGAGTAGATGGATTCAGCAGGCAGTACAAATGGAGAGGGAGTGGGAATACAAAGTTTCAGCCACAGTTTGTGTAGAGCCGCGAGGTTGATGTACTGGTAGAGCTGTGGCTTCGCGGGCAGGCGGCTGCTGAGCTCCCCATCACACCGCTGCGCTCCGCAGCGTCCCTGTTGCTCACGCGGGATGGGCTGGGCGCAATGACTTCTCCTTCTATTAAAAAACCCAAACAAACCCAAAGCCAAGCCCAGACAACCCCGGCTGAGGAGTGATTGAAATAAACTTGGTAAAAACATTTCCTGAACGTCCCTCCATAGAAATAAGACTTGTACAATTTTCTGTGCAATAAATCTGGTCTCCTGTGCGCCCTGTGTTGCGTTGCAGAAAAGCTGTTAGATGTATTAGCATCATTTCTAGCACCCACATACCGTGGGCTTTCAAAACATTTTTAGCCACCTTGTGGCAGGAGAGTAAAGAGCAGAATTTTATTTGAGGGTCATTTCACAGACTTCCACTAAGCAGCTGAAAAGAGTTATAGACAGCATCCCTTCGCTCAATCACCAACGAGAAGTTGCCTTTCTCACTTAATCCAGTTTGACACTTCTCACCTACACTAAACCACCTAAGAAGACAAGAAAACCCACCAAAAACCAAACAACTACCCCCCAGACTCTATACTGAGTATTAGCTGCCAGGACAAAACAAACCCATTCAGAAGGTACTTTCATGAAATATTCATGCCAGAATCATTAAAATTTAATGCATGGGGAAATGCGAGTGAAATCTGTATGTCATCTCGTCAAACCATTTCTTTTAGCTATGAGAGATGACCTGCCGAACCGCTCGCGGAATCAATTACTAGTTGCTTCGTTACGTGAGATGCAAAGATCAGAAAATAAAGTGACTATTTCAGGATCACGCAGGTAGAAGATGCTGCTGGGGGAAAATAAAAGCAGCTCGTAACCGGCGCCGGCCAGCAGCCCGGGTTGCCGCTCGGTTCGCGGTGGGGGGGGGGGGGG